GTTATTTTTTAAACAGAAGGAGCTGTGGAAGATTATTTGCTCATTTTACATTATACTGCGCATGATATTCTACTCGAGGTAGGAGGATCATAGATGATATGGGTGTTTTGTGACTCAAACTAGAGGACTTGTATTAAAATAATGTAGGGCTTTATGTTCTTGACAGAGGGTTGTAGTAAGTTGGCAAAATATTGTTCAAATCAGCCTATAAATGGGGGCGTGGCCTGACCACTTAAGGAGATGGACGTGTAAGCGATCAGCTCCCTGAAAGAGACCGCTTATCGCAGCAATTAGACGAGCATATTTTGAATTTTCTTCTACCCAAGTCACTGGGTGTCAACACGGGAAAAAATGTCACAACACCCTGCGAAAAAAAATCTAAGCTAAAGTCGGCCGAATTACAAATCAGGGCCTTATCATCACCGACACGCCGCGCACAAGATGGTGCAGGTAGGCCCACATCACCGGCCTCGAGTTCCAGGAGGAGCGATGAAACCTCCATATCAGTTACAGCAGCACCAGCTACTGATTCCTTGATCAAGAAAATGCTTAATGTGCTGCAAACCTTCGTACAGTAAAATTTTGCTAAACTGGCTAAAGAAAATTAGAGCCGATGTGAAAGCCCTCGGTGATCGTACAGATTACCTGGAATCGAAAACGGAAGAAATAATGTATGTATATGAAGCAATGGACACTAAATTAACTTCCATACTTACCAAACTGGCAGACCACGAGGATAGAGACATGCCGAATAATATCAGAATAAGCGGCATACTGGAAGACCTTAACCATGCGGTATTAGGGACTTATGTAAAGACACTTTTTCAGGAATTACTCCCAGGGACCCTGACGTCTGAGCTCCTACTAGACAGGATCCATAGACTCCCCAGACCTAAACATCTCCCAACAACTGTCCCGTGAGACACTGACACAAGGCTACACTATTATACAAAGAAGGAGGCTATTATGGAAACGACAAAGAAACTACAGACACTCCCAGGCCTTTACAGCAAAATTCAGATATTCACCGACCTTTCTGCAGCCACGTTGGCGATGCGGAGGTCCTTCATCCCAATCACTAAGGCGCTACGTGCGGCAGACAAATCCTACAAGTTGGGCTTCCCAACAAGGCTTATAATACAATGTAATGGCAAGGAACAACATCTACTCACACCAGAAGACGGAGACAAGCTTTTGGTGGAATGGAATCTACCCATGGAGACAAACGCCAACGAGTCCTCTTCCCAGCGATACTGCTCCAACTCTCCGATGAAGCTGACACAGGACTGGCAAACTATCGCCACAGCTAAGTGACTGAACTATGATTAATACCCACAGGTTTCTCTTAATCCTGCCACAGTCAGGAAATCTATGCAATCCATGAATTGCCAATTTTCCAATTAAAAACTAAATGTTACTGTTACAAAGCTGTTAAGCTTGAAATGTACAGTCGTGCTGGCTTGATGCTGGGGCTCCTATTCCTGGCCCCCATCACCAAGGCAAAATGCATTTATGTATAAGAGATTGGTTCGAGATCAGAGAATACCCCATTTACACTCTAATTACCCTCATTAAGAGGGGCTTTGGGCTTTTTGGTCTATTGACCAAGTTATGGCTAAGTCTCAATCCAGAGACACCACCTTTGTATATAGTTGGTTGTTTGTTTTTTGTTTCCCCCCCTCCCCTTTTTTTATAATTTCTCCCTTGTAAGCCTAGAGGAATGTAACAAGAATGTAACCTCTCACTCACCACCTAGACCACTGACGACTATCTGGGACTGCCTCCCAGTAATACAAACCTCACAAGCTACGCGTTACAAAATACATAGGCGACCGGGTATGTGCCTGGCTTTCACAACACTAGACACTACTCATACTACATAGCCCTAGACAAACTCAAATCAAGTCAGCATCATATTAAGAATACTGTGCACAATTGTCATGTCACTTTTTCCTTGAACACTAAAGGCTTAAACTCACCCCATAAGTGTAGAATGGCACTCATGGAAGCAAAAAAAACATAACGCACACATAGCGTTCTATGAAGAAACTAATTTCCAAAAGAGAAACCAGCCGATGTTTTCTTCTAGACACTTCCCACTGGGCTTTCACAGCACTTACAAATCAAAAAAGAGAGGAGTGACAATATTGATAAGCAAAGATGTACCCTTTCAATTGATAAAAAGAATAGGGGACGGGGAAGGGAGGTATCTTATTTTACAATGTGTAATTAATAATGCCCAATTATTATTATTTTATTATTTATATAGCACCATCAGACTCCATATCGCTGTACAATTGGTGGACTAACAGACATGTAATTGTAACCAGACAACTGGACATACAGGAACAGAGAGGTCGAGGGCCCTGCTCCATGAGCTTACATTCTAGAGGGAGTGGGGTATAGTGACACAAAGGGTAAAAGTAGTGGTATGAAGTAGGTTGTTAGAAGAGTATTAATTGAGGGCTTAGTAGGTAATTTTTGACAGTTGTAGGGGAGGAATCATGGAGGGTGGGGGATGAAAACCTGCTAACAGTTTAATTGATATGCTTTCACCTTGGTAATGTATATGGCCCACACATGGACCAGCAGACCTTTCTGGACAAGATACTTACCCTAACAGTTGCACATAAGTTTGGCGATATCATAATAGGTGGAGACACAAACTTCCTCCTCGACCCAAACCTCGATACCACCTCTGCCGACAAAGTCAAAGAGACAACATCTAAGCAAAGAGCTCGTTCTGCCTAGATCATGGGTGACACTCCTAGATCATGAGTTCCTGGATATATGGAGAACATTCCATCCCTTGGATAGAGATTACTCTTCCCACTCTCTGAGCCACACAACATATTCACGCATAGACAGATTCTTAGTTCCCAAATCCCAGGCACCAAAAATAACAGACATATACAGTTGCAATAAAAAGTATGTGAACCCTTTGGAATGATATGGATTTCTGCACAAATTGGTCATAAAATGTGATCTGATCATCATCTAAGTCACAACAATAGACAATCACAGTCTGCTTAAACTAATAACACACAAAGAATGAAATGCTGCCATGTTTTTATTGAACACACCATGTAAACATTCACAGTGCAGGTGGAAAAAGTATGTGAACTCTTGGATTTAATAACTGGTTGAACCTCCTTTGGCAGCAATAACTTCAACCAAACGTTTCCTGTAGTTGCAGATCAGACGTGCACAACGGTCAGGAGTAATTCTTGACCATTCCTCTTTACAGAACTGTTTCAGTTCAGCAATATTCTTGGGATGTCTGGTGTGAATCGCTTTCTTGAGGTCATGCCATAGCATCTCAATTGGGTTGAGGTCAGGACTCTGACTGGGCCACTTCAGAAGGCGTATTTTCTTCTGTTTAAGCCATTCTGTTGTTGATTTACTTCTATGCTTTGGGTCATTGTTCTGTTGCAACACCCATCTTCTATTGAGCTTCAGCTGGTAGACAGATGGCCTTAAGTTCTCCTGCAAAATGTCTTGATAAAATTTGGAATTCATTTTTCCTTCAATGATAGCAATCCGTCCAGGCCCTGACACAGCAAAGCAGCCCCAAACCAAGATGCCCCCACCACCATACTTCACAGTTGGGATGAAGTTTTGATGTTGGTGTGCTGTGTCTTTTTTTCGCCACACATAGTGTTGTGTGTTTCTTCCAAACAACTCAACTTTGGTTTCATCTGTCCACAGAATATTTTGCCAGTACTGCTGTGGAACATTCAGGTGCTCTTGTGCAAACTGTAAACATGCAGCAATGTTTTGTTTGGACAGCAGTGGCTTCCTCTGTGGTATCCTCCCATGAAATCCATTCTTGTTTACTGTTTTACGAATTGTAGATTCACTAACAGGGATGTTAGCATTTGCCAGTGACTTTTGTAAGTCTTTAGCTGACACTCTAGGATTCTTCTTCACCTCATGTGCTCTTGCAGTCATCTTTACAGGACGGCCACTCCTAGGGAGAGTAGCAGCAGCGCTGAACTTTCTCCATTTATAGACAATTTGTTTAACCGTGGACTGATGAACAGCAAGGCTTTTGGAGATACTTTTATAACCCTTTCCAGCTTTATGCAAGTCAACAATTCTTAATCGAAGGTCTTCTGAGAGCTCTTTTGTGCAAGGCATCATTAACATCAGGCAATACTTCTTGTGAAAAACAAACCCAGAACTGGTGTGTGTTTTTTATAGTGCAGGGCAGCTGTAACCAACACCTCTAATCTCATCTCATTGATTGGACTCCAGTTGGCTGACATCTCACTCCAATTAGCTCTTGGAGATGTCATTAGTCTAGGGGTTCACATAATTTTTCCACCTGCATTGTGAATGTTTACATGGTGTGTTCAATAAAAACATGGCAACATTTCATTCTTTGTGTGTTATTAGTTTAAGCAGACTGATTGTCTATTGTTGTGACTTAGATTATGATCAGATCACATTTTATGACCAATTTGTGCAGAAATCCATATCATGCCAAAGGGTTCACATACTTTTTCTTGCAACTGTATAGGAGACATCACATGGTCTGATCATGCCCCCATCTCAATGACAACCACAATGCAAAACCCTGTAGTTGGCAATTGTACTTGGCGTCTAAATGACACTCTCTTGACAGACCATACTCTGATTACACAACTCCAAGCAGATCTAGAGACATATTTCTTGCTCAGTAACACTGGGGAGGTGACAGCAGAAACCTTATGGCAAGCACTCAAATCAGTCCTTAGGGGCCAACTTATCAAACACGCTAGCTATAATAAAAAACAACGTCTCCTAACATATACCAACACTCTAATCGAACTGGCCACACTCACTCACACAAATAAGAGATCTCCCTCGTATGACACCACAACAAAAATTCTCTTACTCCAAGCCTGTCTGAAAGACATGGACCTAGCTAAGACTACATATCTCCTCACCAAAATGAAACATACATTTTTTAAAGACGGTAACAGGGCTGGCAAAGTTTTAGCATCCCAGATTAAGATGAGGACTCCAATGTCAAAAATAGCCTTCCTCCACTCAGAAGCAGGCCATAAGATTACCAATCCACAAGACATAGTGGAAGAATTCAGCAAATATTATAGCAAATTGTATAACCTGGCAGTTGCCAGTGATTCCCCCACACCTCAGCAAAGTGACATTGATGACTTCTTATGAGATGTTCAGCTACCATCCCTCTCGACCGAAGAGGGCAAAAAACTGACCGACCTTTCACGACTCAAGAAGTACTACGAACCATAGCACAGTTACCAAAACATAAATCACCTGGGCCTGACAGGTTCCCCAACCTCTATTACCACACATTTAGACACATCCTGGCTCCTCATATGACCGACCTATTTAATCACTGCTTTAGAACAGGCATCATGCCCAATGACATGTTGAAAGCACATACCTCCACACTACCAAAGCCAGGTAAACCCCCCACGCACTGCCCTAATTTTTGACCCATATCCCTATTAAGTTGCGATACCAAGTTATACGCTAAACCCATAGTGAAAAGGTTAGCCACAATATTACCCCATATTGTACATAATGACCAGTCAGGATTTGTTAAAGGCAGGCAAGGCTGCGACAACACTAGGAAAATCCTAAATATATTATCCCACATAGAGAGACATGGTACAGAAAGCCTATTTCTGGCCTTAGACGCTGAAAAGGCCTTCGATAGGCTCAATTGGGCCTACATGTCAACAGTCCTAACCAAATACCGCTTTCCACCGGAGCTCATACTGGGCATTTTGGCACTATATGGCAATTCATCAGCACAAGTCTCCAACTCAGGTTTTGTCTCAAAGCCCTTCACCCTTACCAATGGCACGAGGCAATAATACCCGTTATCCCCACTCTTGTTTATACTATCACTAGAGCCACTAGCTCACAAAATCAGACAAGACCCGTTGATCTCAGTATTCCAAATCCAATCAAATGAATACCGCTTAGCAATGTTCGCAGACGATATCTTATTGTCTCTTAGCAAACCGGAGACATCACTACCGCGGCTTCAGGCCATCTTAGACGGTTATGGGCAGGTGTCATATTACAAATTTAATAAGACTAAAACACAAGCTCTATCGATTAATATACTGACGCAACAAGTTCAAAACACACCGCATATCAGTTTGATTGGCAACAATCCTACACCACATACCTGGGAGTTAAACTAGCACTACATAGACAAAAAAATGATATCCCTCAACTATGCTCCGCTAACGAACATATGTAACTCTAACTTCCAGAAATGGAAAGATTTGCACCTGTCTTGGATGGGGAGATTGAACACAATTAAGATGGTAGTGCTACCAAAGATTCTGTATGTTTTTAGGATGTTATCCTTGCAAGTTCCGCTACAACTATTCAAAACCGTCCAGACCACACTAAACAAGTTTGTGTGGGGAGACATGAAACCACGCTTACCCCTATCACTCCTTCAACTAAACCCGACAGAAGGAGGCTTGGGCCTTCCGAAGCTGTTGACCTACTACATATCGGCCATCCTGGAGTCAGTCATACGACTTCATGCTCCCAAGAATACTTTCCAATGGGCAGACATGGAACAAGACAAAATACTTCCAACTCCTCTAACGAGTATCTTGTGGTCACCAAAGGCACACCGCCCAATCACAAACGTATTATATCCTACATTTGCCCTCACATTAAAGGTATGGGACACTCTCAGATCTAACTGACCCGAAGACAGAAAATTCTGTGCACATGCACCTTTAGAAATGTTGGAGATTAGTGATGTACCGAACGGTTCGCCATTGAAAATATGGACAGATATGGGTGTTAAAATAATTTGTGACCTATGCTCTCAATCAACGGTTCTACAACAGAAATACAAGCTACCTAACTCACTTATTTTTTCATACCTTCAACTCAAGAGCATCATAAATACCAAAGTCATGATCCCAACGGACGTGTCCACCTCACGTAATGACTCCGTAATACTACTCCATAATAGATGTCTCTCAGCTCCAACGAAACCTAAAGCTTTGTCTATCTGCTAACAGACTCTATTAAATAATGCTCCACCTAGCTCCTTTAAATATGTAGCACAATGGGAGAAAGAAGGAATGCCCAAGCTCACAGATGACCAATGGCTCAAAGCACTAAATGCACTACGGGGCAACACGTCTTGCTTCTCTCATGTGGAGGCTCACAAGAAGGTGATCTTTCAATGGTACCTCACGCCACAAAAGCTACATAAAATATATCCTGCAATAGATCCTAAATGCTGGAGATGCAATACAGCCGAGGGACACATGACTCACATATGCTGGGAATGCAACGAGATCAAACCCCACTGGACATGAGTATACACACTATTGCAAGACAGAATAGCAGAAACATACTCTCTTACACCTACAATAGCTCTCTTTTTGTTATTTCCTGACACCTCAAGATTGGAAACCAGGAAAATTGCCACTCTGATCATCCTGGCAGCTAAGAACCTTCTGGCGCTTCATTGGAAATCTAAGTACTGCCCGACCAACACATAACTAATAGACAAAACATACCAATATTACCAATACAAAACTCTCTCCTCAAACTCTTTTGAAAATACAAAGAAACTAGAGACTCTTTGGAAGCTGTGGCTGACAAGACACTATCACCGCAATAAACCTGAGAAAGATAGAAAGTAAATAGACATTCCTCCAGTTATGGGACAGAAATCAAAGGCAGACTGCTCAAACGCACAGACGGTGTACCTTACGCAAGGCAACCTAGAGACAGACAAATAGTACACAGTTGGTTAAATGCACAGCTGAACAGACACACTACATAGACGCACAAATTTGACCAGACATTCATCTAAATGGGAGGTAATTCTAACATTCAATGCACATATATACATTCCTTCCCAGTTCAATGCCTTCCCCCTCCCCGTCCCCTTCCCATTAAGGCATAGACTCAAGTTCGGCTACATTTATTGACAATCTAGATAAATGGTTATATACAAACTACAGGGACAGAATCCTTGTCTTACACAGGCAAAGACCCTAGCTTAAAATGAATAATTATTTATCTCACAGAACGAGTAAGATGTAGAAGGAGAATCACAGCAATTCTCCCAGTTGAGACCGGTAGTTCGCAAGAAGAAGTTGGAGGGTTTGTTTAGAATCTGGCATAGGCCTCCTACGAGATTGCTATCAATTGTAAATAAGCATCTTAGAACGATAAAAATACCACAGTTGTAATATTAGCTACTATCACACTGTGTTCAGCAACGATGTTTATATGTACCCACATACTTTTGGATTGTCATGAAATATGTCTCAAACTCTGAATGTAACACGCAAGCTGAAATGTTCATTGTTTATTGGATTTGTCCCTCCTGTTTTCCCTTCTGTATCCCCAATCTATCTTTTTCTGAAAATAAAAATCATATATTTGAAAAAAAATATTGTTCAATACAGCCTATAAATAATAAAAAAAAGTCTCTGGATACCCCCCAGAGGGGAGTAATCAATAGAGGAGTGCAGTATAAGGTAGGAAGGAAATCCTAACTTTTATTCATAAATGAATGACCACAAAAGATTATTTATTCAAATAAGGGTGGTTGGCAGTGTATACAACAATGATAAAACAATAAGGGAAAAGGAAATAGTGACCCTTTAGATCTGAACATGGGTAACATCCATCAGACAGATTTCCCACACCTGGGTGGGATTATTCCCCTTTAGGGGGTTTCCAGATACTTTTTATTTATCAGGGTTAACCGCTATCTATGGAGAGCACAGCTTAGGCGTTTACGTGGAGGCTGTCCACCAGCCCCCTTCTTTCCGACCACCTCCTACCTTCCAACAAAAATGAGTCGAACCACACAGGGATCTTTTTGGCAGAAGAACTATTTAGATATATCAGTGAAAAAGGGCCAGATTGGAGATGCCAAGGGGGACCAGTAATTGTCAGACCATTCAAAAATGAAAAATTACCAGGGGACTCCTGGCACTATAACCACACTGCAGTGTACTTTTGTAGTGCCTTGGCTGGCCATTTATGTTCCATTTCTATACTAATACTATTTTTCAAAACTGAAAAGAATTTCACCAGAAAGACAGATAGGATAGTAGCCTCAGTGACATTAGTGACAAACTTATCATTTGTACCATCTAAAATTAACAGACTAGTTTCACAGGCATTTTTTGACTTACCCTTCCAGTATCCTTAGCTAAAAAGCATGTGCTATCCTTCTGGTGAACATGTGCAATGCTGGTTATAGTCATAATAAAATATAAAATATCAACACAACTCATTTGGAATATAAATGTACAATACAAGATGTTGGAAAAATATACATTTAATTTAGGTTTACATTAAATTGAATGCAGGCAATACAAAGTCATGCTTGTCATTTGGAAACACAAATGTGTTACTAAATATACACATATTTTTAAACAACTACAAACAGCAGTAAACAAGAATCATGTCTGAGCCACATGCATCTTGTACAAATTTGACTGCAATAATCTTCATGATCTCCTCTAGCCCATTATGCCTCATTTCCATTGAGCGGTATGTTTCGGGTCGGTACGGTTCGGAAGGGTTAAAATAGTCCAGCCTATTCAGGTGAGCATTTCCACTGTAAGTCGGACTGCCAGGGGGCATGCAGGGTTTAGACCAAATGACTAGCGTATCATTTGTCGTGAGCATTGACTTTTTTTGTCCGACAATTAATGTATTGTATACCGTGACGCCAGTAGCTCCGCCCTAACCATAACGTACCATTTCCTATGGACCTACATCTGAAGGGGGCCCAGGAATGGAGCGGTTTGGTTTGGTTGTATGGGCCACTTTCATAATGGAAACACTCTAAATAGCGTACCAGACCGCATCGACCCGAACCGTACGGCTCAGTGGAAACGGGGCATTTGTGACCCTTTTGCAAAAATCATGCTCCCCAAGAACATCTCTTCATTTCACCAGTCATAAGACCAAGCCAATTTCAAATATAAAATTCACTGAGAAGGTTTATAAAAGTGATTCATACAGAAAATGAAACTATGTAAAAGTGGTACTAAGTTCTAAAGTAGAGATGTGTACAGGCAAAACAATTGTTTTGTTTCAATTTGTTACTTTTCTAATTTAATTCAGCTGTAATTTAGAAAATGTTTGATTCTGAACAAAATTTAAATGATGAAATTTTTTTTTTTTGCTTTTAAAATTTGGATGCCATTATTCCCATAAAACACCAGATTAGGATGCTGGTTAGCAGATAGCTCTCTACAACTGAAAGATGAAAATTAATAACGTTTTGTTTTTTTCTAAATGTTGATCTTTCAGCTGTAGAAAACTATAATTTCCTAATCTTACATGGGATTGCCTTATTTAATTATGCCAATTAAGGGGGCTATCTGCTAATCAAAGCCCTCATTTAGAATCCTCAAATATGGCAATCCCCCACAAGAATTGAAAACTAGAGAGCTATCGACTAAACAGATGAAAGAGCAAAATTAAGAAAAGCCTGTTTTCTTTATTTTACTCTCTCAGTTGCTTAGTAGATACATCCCTAATTTCCTATGCTTAGGAAAACAAATGGATCTGCAATAATTTGTTTCAATTTGTTTTGAATTTATTTTCATTTTTGTTTGTAAAGAGTTCAGAAATTTGTACAAATTCCGAATTGCTGAATTCAGACATAATACGATTCGGAACAAAATAAATTGCACATGTCTATTCAAAGTGGAGCTATCACTGTGGAGCAGGGGCGGCAGTACCATAAGGCGACTAAGACTGTGTTTTAAGTAGAATACCATATACACAACATAAATAAAATAAAAGTTTTTAATTTGCATTTGTCCCTTTTTTGTCTTCAAGTTTCATATTTATTGTTTGAACAATATTTTACTTTTTTTAAATTAAATTAGAGATAATTTTTTAATAAAAACAACATTGAGAAAAGCAAACAATTTCAAATTAGCATCTTGCATACTAACATCTTAAACATATCTAGACATTATCTAAAACAATTCCTGACTTTTCACACACTATATATTCAAATGTGTATGTACTGATTATAATAAACACAACTTTAGCTGTTTAGTATACATGGGCCTTTCTTTAATTTACAAATCCAAATCCATATTTTCGATGTTCTCTGTTAAGTAAACTGTGACCTCTTTCTTGAAAAGTTTTCAAATAACTTAGCAGCACCATTCAGATAGAAGATGAAGAACAAGTTCACAATTAGTTCTCCACATTCTTGACATTTTCTGTAAGTTTATCACATCGTCCAAACTTGGAGACAGCATGGTGCATTTGAGAACCAGCTCTATGCAGACACACAGGCTTGTACATCTTCTTGTACAAGTTATTCCTGTAATCAGGTCCATAAACTAAAATTCTTGTTTGCCATTAATGAAATTTGTTTATGAATGTTCTTGATAGAAATCATCTGTAGACTGTATAGTCATTAGACAGAGAATGGTAATAGTGCCTGCTGCTGTACGACCACTTTAGTTGTTCTTAGAGCGTCTACATTACAAAATTCTGGGAAAACCCACAAATTTAAAATGAAATTGTCATTTGGGAATGTAAAAGATCTGACTAAAAATTGTGAAGAGCCATAAAATCATTATATTATGGAACATAATATAACAATTTTAAAAACGTACCTTCTTGGTGTTGTGTTATTGTTGTGGGGAGTGTTATGTGCTACCCACAGTGTGAGAGAATAGAGAATGTGCCCAATGGATCATCCATTACATTTTATTTAAATATGTTCATTCATGTCAAAATTGTTGCTGTTATTTGCTTGTGAAACTAGTCAACAGACCCATTCCTCTAATTTGGTACAAATTCAGGTATGGCTCAGGACTTCTATTTTTTGTTTTGTGGCTATTTCACATTATTTATATAGCGCTGTACAATTAGTGGAGGATGTAAAATATACACAGACAAGAACAAAAGGTAGAGAGGGCCTTGCCCGTAAGCTGAGATCTAGCCAGTTAAGTTCTTTTATACAAAGAGTTTAGCAAGATAGCCTGTGAGCTTACAATCTCACAATTAATGTGAATGATTGCAGTTTAGAAGCTATGCATAAAATTAAGGAATGTCCTGCAAAATATTGTCGTCAAAGTTTTTTTCACTTTTTTTTTTAACTGGAAGCTTAGTGAATCACAAAATTGCATCTGAACGCTACAATTGAGTTTGTTGCTCCGTACAGTATAATGGGCATTTTCATCTCGCAGAGATTCAGTTTCCAGTCATACATCCAAATCGATTTTTAAAATAAAATAAATTGTGTCTCACATCTGTACTCTCTGAGGAGTCAGGGTAGCGAAAAGTTTCATATGCTTTATCCGTTTCTGACTTCGACCACGGAAGATGGATTTTTGAAGCATGATCCACAATCACATCATCACAGGAACCGACATACAATTTTCCAAGTCCATCTATAAAGAACTCTTTAAAATAAATAAAAAAAAGCACATAGAGTTAAGGAACCACAATACCTAAATATACCGTATATACAGTAAAAAAAAACTCAACTAGAGGAAGTCAAATGTATACTGGAACGTTCATGGGTTATTTACTAAAGTGACAATTTAAAGTGGATTCAAAGTGGTTAAGGACTTAATAGTCAATTTGGATTACTACTTGTAAGTCAGCTGTGCTTTAATTTCAGCTACTGTAGCCTAAAATTTAAAATTCACTATGAATTGTCACATTAGTATATAATCCTTTTAGTGAAACAAACTGGGTACAGTGGAACCTTGTAACTTGAACGGTCCCGTTCTTGAACAATTCGGAAGTCGAACAAAAATTTTGAATAAAAATGTCTTGGTATGCGAACGATCTTTTGTACCCGAACAAATCATACCACAAACAAGTTCAATTAGACACACTTTAGACACATTATAAATGTCAGAACAACAGTTACGTATCCCCATTCAAACAATAATATCTTCTCATTTCCACTTACGCCATCAACTCTCATCATTACAGGTAAAGTGAAGTTACATTTTCATTTCCTGTACATTGTGTTTATTATTATTTTTGGGGGTTTTTTTTATGCATGTAAGGCATTTTTATAGTATCAAATTTGTGTTAAAAATGCTGTAATTTTCAGGGTCTGGAACGGATTAATCACATTTGCATTAATTCTTATGGGAAATGTTGATCGGTTCTCAAACAAATCGGAACTCGAACAGCCTTCTGCAACGTATTAAAGGGACACTGGTTATAGTGTCTGGAGTTCCCTGGTTCCACCATTTCTTTTAAGATTAAACAGTTTTTAATGTTTTAAGGTTTTAATGCTAAACAAGAGTCCTCGGCAGTCCAACCCCTCTGTGCTGCTTTAGCTAATAAGGAAGTATTACCCTGAGCAGCAATGGGCAGCTGTGATTGGCT